CTGACACTGACCTTCTGTGGGGCTTATATTTCTTTTTGACCACAACTTCTGACAAGAATGCTCTCTGGATATGCTGCCTCAACCACCACAGAGGGAAAGAGAGTCATGGCTGGTGGCATTATGGCACCTGAGAGCCTGTATTATAACATTGCTGTCTTATGAGGTCCAGGCTATCCACCCGACTCCCCACCCACTGACTCTGATGTCTTCACACGCCCATGCACACAGACAACAGGTGTGTGCAGAGAGAATTTCCAGTGACATCTTCCTTTTGTTTAGGTTAGCAGAGACTACAGGGGAAGCTGTAGGAATGAGGTGCTAATGAGGTTACGGGGGAAGGGAAAAGGTAATGAATGTCAGTAGTCGACAGCAGGAGGGATTGGAAGGGATTAAGTATCTTGGTGATTACACCACTTGGAAGTGTGGGAATAAATGTGTGGGGAAGACATATTGATTTAACAAGCTTCCTGCCATCACCACACAGCTGGTCTCACCTGTTTCAGCTCTGGTCTCTGTTATAGGGTGAAAGACGCCCAGTTAAAACCAACACCTGTGAAATTAGTTTTTAGGCAAGAAATGTTGCCTTTACTTTAGTCACTTTGTAAAGCAAGTCTTTGCATCTCTGTCACCCACTAGACTGAGCTTCTTGAGAGCAGGGCCTGTGTCTTTTTCAGAGTTATCTCCAGAGGAAAGGAGAGAAGTTATAGAATATTTTGGTGCACACAAGTATTTATTTTAAAAAGATATTCTCCACAAGCACCATGGGTAGAAAGTGTGTTAAGCAGCTGTGCTATATTACCCTCCAAACAAGCCAGTGCAGGCCTAGAGTGTCCCAAGGCCATGGTAGCCCATAGAGCAATGATTTTCAGCTGTGTGCCATGAGAGGCTCTTGGGTGTGTTCTGAAAATTTTTAAAGATCTCGCCTCAAGTCTGAGCCATCATTTACACTGAAGTGGCTCCATTCAGTGGTGTCAGATCTGGGGTCTGGCTCACCCCCCTTTCTATATTGGCATACAGCTCAAGGCTAGGAGTGTAGCCACCTGTACCAGTCTGCCCAGGCTGCCATAACAAAATACCAGGGACTGGTGGCTTAAACAAGAGAAACTTATTTTCTCACAGTTATGGAAGCTTGAAGTCCAAGATTAGGGTGGCAGCCTCCTGATCAGGTCAGGTTGTAGAGAGCTCTTTCCTGGCTGGTAAAGGGCTGCCTTCTCACTGTGTCCTCACCTGCCTTCCTTTTGTTCTTGTGCAGAGAAGGAAAGAGAGCTCCGTGGGATCTCCCTTTACAAGTACACTAATGCTATGGGATCAGGGCCCTACCCTTATGACTCCCTTATGACTACAAGCTTCCTTGGAGCCCAAATCCCCAAATCCAATTCCACTATCAGTTAGGGATTCAGAATATACATTTGGGGGGCACAAACTTTTAGCCCATAATAACTCTATATTTTTTGTTTGTTTGTTTGAGACAGAGTCCCCCTATGTCCTCCTCGGTAGAGTGCCGGGCATCACAGCTCACAGCAACCTCCAACTCTTGGGCTTAAGCAATTCTCTTGCCTCAGTATCCTGAGTAGCTGGGACTACAGGTGCCCGCCAAAACGCTGGGTGTTTTTTTTTTGTTGTTGTTGTTGTTGCATTATTGTTTAGCTGGCCCGGCTGAGTTTGAGCCGGCCAGCCTCGGTGCATGTAGCTGGCGCCGTAACCGCTGTGCTGCAGGCACTGAGGCCCCATAATAACTTTAAAGGCAAACTGGTGATTAGTCTCCGTTAGATAAGTAGCACATTCTTCTATAATGAACCTAACTCAGGGCATTGTCATGATTAAATAACAAGATGTATGTGATGGGCCTAGTGTATAGTAGTTAGTTAACATTATTAGTAGGGTCCTCTAAGTTCTGTCTCCCCCTCTCTAATGGCAGAGGAAGGGACTCAGCCAGCTGCACCCAAATGAAGAATCACACTGGATTCCTCCTGGCTTCTTTTTAGCTTAAAGAAAAAGGTTTTGAACATACATTTTCAAATTTAAAAAGGTTGAAGTGGTGTGACCTTTAACGGACTACATGTTATTTTCAAAGCCTCTGTTTCCTCCTAAGTTGTAGCTAATATTTCCTACTTTGCTCCCACTTTGTAGGGTGGTGGTGTGGATTAAATGCTTGTAAAGTGCCAGGCACAGAGTGTTTTTTACCAAGAGCTCTTATTTCTAGTAAAGATGATGCCCTTGGCTTTGTTCCAGCATCAAGGATCAGGCAAGAAAACACAGTAAGTCACTATCACACCACCCTTCCAGGTTCTTACCTTCCAGGCATGTGCCGTGAGCATGTGGGCAAACCAACATTGTCATTTGCAACACTGACATAATGACTGTGAGCAGTTCTCCAGCATACATGTTCCTATTTTTCCTCTTTAAACTACTTTAAAAGGTGAGGATTTGCACAGATGATTAGTGGGTGTCTTCTGCAAAACTTACCACCACCATCATTTCCCTCTCCTAATGTGGAGAACTTGGGCCTCTCTTTTCATAGTCATACTTGGGCTTGTGGGCTTGGCTTTGTAATGAGAGAGAAAGAGATCCCCCAGACTTGCCAGGCTCCCTTTGGCCAGGTGGCCGTAGCCATTACCTTAGAGCCAAACCTATTTCCTTATTATTGCATATGAAATTAAAACTCCAGTTTTCAGATTTTAGGGCAAAAGATTCCTAAACAGCTTCATCCCAGATCCGGACAATGACTTGTGTCTGTGGCTGTCCCATCATCCCAGTCTCTCCAGCCTGACTCCTTCCCACTGCCTGGTGCCTTCCATGCTAGGGGAGCAGGGTCTCTTCTCCCAAGAGGTCAGAATAATATGCTGCAGGGAGCAGATGGTCACAGAGCACAGTTGTCGCTTCTAGCCACCTGCCTTATTTATGTCCCAGCACTCCTGCAAGCAGCAGCCCTGAGGGGCAGCCTTCCCTCATAGCAGGAGAACCTGGTGGTTGAGGTGTAGTCAGCACCATAGCTTTCTTGGTGTTAAGATCCCGTGTTGTTCAGCCTGGCCAGCTTGGCAGACAACAAACCAGCTGTGTCCAGGGGAGTAGTCTAAGCCCCGCAGATACCTGACATGTGTCCTCACGAGAGGTGCCCCTTCTGGAGCTCCCAGGGCCTCTTCAATCCTGGAACACAGCCTTCCCGGAAACTTGCGTGGTGGCAGGCAAAATAAAACAAGTAAGATGAGAGAAAATATGTTGCTTCCTTCCCTCTGTTCATATTAATGTGCTATATTAGGAGAGATGAGTGTTATCCTGGACATAGAGTCGCCAGATGGTCCAGAAAACGAATATGGAATTGGTCTCCTCACCGCCATAAGCCATCTTCACTGTGTTGGAGCACAAGTAGATGAGGCTGTTCATGCCTTCATTCACCAGTTTTGAGTGTCCCATACTGGCTGAGGAGGGCCAAGGACAAAGATGACTGATGGGACTATGCCTTTGAGGACCTTTGAGGCAGAGTCTAATGCGGTGGAAGCATCAGGACCTATGAGGCACAGAGGAAGTCAGGGAAGGCTTCTCAGAGGAGGACTCAATTGAATTGGGTCCTGAAGAAGTTTCTTGAGTAGAAAGGTGTGCTTTATTTGATCCCAGAAACACATTGCAGTGGTCTGCTCTCCCTTCTGCTGGTCAGTTCTGCTGTTTAAATGCAGATGTTTTCTGTTTAGATACCTAAGAGTCAAGAGAGCTGCTGAAGGTAGCTTCCTCTTTGGCTTCTTTGTTCTGTTTCTAGAGCTGCTCTGGACTAGACCCAGGTGCTCCCTGGAAGGAATTCTAATGCACTCACCATGACCACGGCATCCTCCCCTTTTCTTATGTGCACCCTCATTTCATCCCCATAGTGGCTCCCCACATCTCCCACATGCTTTTCAAGCCCACTTGCTCCTCACTGCTCCCAGGAGCCTGTTAATATGGTGGGTTACATTGATCAATTTTCAAATAACGATCCAGCCTCGCATCCCTGGAATGAACGCCACCTGTGTGGTAAATAATTCTTTTTGTATATTGCTGAATTCTATTTGCTAATGTTTTGTTAAGGGTTTTTGCATTTGTATTCATGGGGGATATTGCTCTGGAGTTTTTGTTTTGCGTACTATTTTTGTTTGGCTTTGGTACCAGGCTGGTTGATCCTGGCTTCATAAAGTGAGTTGGGAAGGGTTTTCTCCTCTGTTCTCTAGATGAAATTAGTGTTAATTTTTCTTTAACTGTATGGTAGATTTTTCCAGCTTTTGAAAACTGTTGATGCTTAGGGCTCTATCTGGACCAAATAAACCTGACTCTCTGGGGGTGGGGCTTGGACTTAGGTGCTTTTCGAAAGCTCAAAAGCTCTTCAGATGAGCACACAGAGGTAGTGCTCTCAGCATGGAGCTTCAGTGCTGGCAGTGAACTTCGGGAGGCAACACAGAGCATGGACAAAGCAGAATACTGTGAGGAAAAATGTTATGAATTAAACAGCTGTGAGGCTTGGAGAATTTGGCTCTCTGAGACACACCCCAGGAGCCTCTGGTATCTTCAGGACACCATGTAATGCAGTAGGGACTTTGGTCATACGAGACATGTGGGTTTGACTTGGCTACTTGGTAGCATAAATTCCTTAGTGACTGCAGCTTTCTCTCATCTCTAAACTGCAGCTCCTTAGGTTGTTTTGAAAATAGACAGTACATGTGAAAATGCTTTAGAACTTACATGGCATTTGGGGCAGGGTAAAAAATGATGTTTCTGTGGGCTCTAGCTTACCCCTTCAACTACCTCTATGTCCCGATTCCCAGCAGGACCCACTGGGAGGCTCGAGTGGCGGGGGGTGGGGGGAGTTGTGACCAGAGCTGGCTGTAGAACCAATTTCTTCAGGCTGTGGAGAAAATTCCTCCCCTTCTTTACTCCTCCTGACCATGGAGTTTGGGCTCTGATTGGAAGGGAAGGGACCTTGGTAACAGGGCAAGCCACTTTGACCTTGACAGGTGCCCTCTCTCCTTCTGTAGGAACATGCTTGCCAATTCAGCCAGCGTGCGGATTCTCATCAAGGGAGGCAAGGTGGTGAACGATGACTGCACCCATGAGGCTGATGTCTACATTGAGAACGGCATCATCCAGCAGGTGGGCCGTGAGCTCATGATCCCTGGAGGGGCCAAGGTGATTGATGCCACCGGGAAACTGGTGATCCCTGGAGGCATAGACACCAGCACCCACTTCCACCAGACCTTCATGAATGCCACGTGTGTAGATGACTTCTACCATGGGACCAAGGTAATTATGTTCCTGTTTGCCAAAGGTGGCTTCCTCTTGGGCTTCTTTATTCTGCTTCTGAAGCTGCTGCATACTAGACCCACGTGAGCTCAGTGCTCCCACTGTGTTGCTCCCAGAAGAAGGGTATTTCAAGGGGCCACTATGACAGCCAGAATAGGTATTTCTGAGTTAATGTCATAGATTTCCATGGTTCTGGAAAAAGCAGCATTTAGGCCTGTTCTGCTGATCACCTCACTTATAACATGTATCCCGGCTGGGAACTGATTTTATTTCTGTGTTTTTATGTCATGTAACAGACACATCGAGGAAGAAGAGAGTAAGCTGGTGTTTACGAATATATAGGGAAGGGGTTGGTCTGATGGACTCCTTTGTGTATGATAAGCCGAATTAAGTCCCCAGAGACTGTGAAAGACAAATATGCCTCTTCTAGCTGATGGGCTAGCTTTTGTTATCTCTCCTAGCTTGTTCATCATCTTTAAAAACAGCTTGAAAAGTACTGGTGGTGGGTTCTCTTTTCAGAGTGAGTTATCATGGACAATATTTGATAGTTACCAAGCTAGACCTGACCTACTGTAAGTTTCTGAATGCCAAAAACAAAAATTCCAACCTGTGGAGCAAATGAATTAGGAGGAAAGTACATTTTGCAAAAAAAGATCCGTGAACAGGATCTTTTACCTTTCCTCTGTGCTCCGGGAAACTCTGTTGTCACTGTCGTTCCTCTTCCTTATAATTATCTGTCACATACAGGCTTCCCTCCGGACATCAGGCTGCTCCTTGAGGGCCAGGGTTGACCATATTCCTCTGCTTTCAGAGCCTGGCATGGACCTGGAACTAGAGTAGCTGTCCTGTATGTATACAGGCGGAGGCTGGCCCTGGAGGCACAGCTCACTGGGCCAGCCCACCACACACAGATGGCCTTTAAGGTCTCCTTGAAGATATCACCACCTTCTCAATCTAGGGGCTCCAGATTAGACCCTTGGAAAACTGGGCTGTAAGGAGTCACGGTAGCCACTGCCTGTGCTGAGGCAAGGATGCTCTCGGCATCTGGCTATACCTGCCACTCTGTCAGAGCCCAGGGAGGACAGGTGGTACGTGGACCCTCTCTATTTCTCTGAGAATTCCTTGGGCACTACAGGTGATGCTTGGATAATGAAATGGGGAGCCCCATTATGGTAAATTCAAGGTCCTCTTGCAGGATGCTCTGCTGGCAGTCAGGACCATGCATAGGCTGGGCCAGCCCAGGCCAGGCCTGTTTTATTTGCTATTATTGCTATTGCCATTTTTATTGAAGTATAGCGTATGTACAGAGAAGTATACAAATTGTGAGTATACAGAATTGTCTCAACTGAACACACTTGTAATCACCTCCCCAGTTAAGAAGCTAAACATTACCGGCAACTGACCTTGAATAGACTTTAAAAAAATAACAGCTTACTTGACGTAATTCGCATACCGTACAATTCACCTATTTAGAGTATACAAGTCAGTGATTTTTAGTATACTCATCACAGATTGGCTTTCACTTTATATCAATGAAATTGAGCAGTTTGTACCCTTCTGTTGGCTTCTTTTGCTAAAAGTTCATTTTTTACCTTCTGAACCTATTTTCAAAGAGTAAAATCCACTCTTATTGCCTATTGTTGTAATTCATTCACTTTCATCCCTTTATGGTACCTCACTGTGTGATACACTACATAGTACTTACCTCTTTCTCAGTGGGCATGTGGGCAGTTGCCAGTTTAGGGCCACTACAAACACCGTCCCTATGAACATGCTCTTCTATGTGTATTTGGCAAACAGGTCTGTACACAATTTTTAGGTTTATTCTTGGGAGTGGAATTGCTGGGTACATGTATGTTCCTTTTAGTAAGTGATGCCAAATAGTTTTCCAGACTGGTAACAATTTATCCTCCCAGCAGTAGTGTAAGAAAGGCCACAGTACCTCAAATGTAAGCGGTGACCCCACCAGGCCATCCTAGGAGCCATTCTGTAGTATGCTTAGGTCTTGCACCAAAAACTGCAGCTTGCTAGTTACTGTGCCTCCTCTTGGGAGCTTTTTCATACAAGGTCAGATGCCACACTGTCACCATGCTGTCTTCCAACTTCACGGATGGCAGACTGGCCTTCTTTGTCTTATTTTCCACATTGTCATCTGCTGGGGCCTCATTAGCCAAGAGTGGCAGGTTTTCCCCAGAGAGCCATCAGCTCTTTATAGCTAATGAAGCTCTTGTTCGTGGATCTTTGTGCAAGGTGAGTAGCTCTTGATCTTTTCCAAGCATCGCATCTATGGGGGCAGCTGCCTCCTGAAAACATGTTAAGGCCCCTATGTGGTTAAAAGCCCAGATCTCTCATTCCTAAAGGTTTAGGCTGCCTCCAGAACCCCAGTTCATGTCTGGCCCTAGTTGTGGAGAATTTAATAGTCCACAGACCCTAAGCTCCCTGACTGCTGGGGTCACCTAAATGACATTTTGTTATATTCGTGCTGCTCCGGCAAGATCATACCTTGTTCCTGTGCCCCAGCCCTCATGTTAAGCCTCTGCCCCAGTTCTGCCTGGAGCCCTTTAATATATCTTCCCTGCCTCCCAAGAACAAGCTTCCTGCCCCTGCCTCCCTCCATGCCTGGATTTCCCCTCTGCATCACGAATGCTTTGGCTTCCTATTCCCTCTGGTTCCTAAAAGCTCCTAGGGAGAGAAAATGCTCTCCTACTGAAACAGTGATCCGGGGACGTGTGGATTTAATTATTCACACTGCCTGTGGCGCTTGTGCAGAGACCGTGCACCCTGATAGCCTGCCGCTGACCTACTTAGTACACTCGAAGAAAGGTTGATTTACTTTAAGCATCTGGCTTTATAATAGAACAATAATCCCAAGGAAAAGCTTACCGGAATGATTAACCGAGAGAGGAGGAGAGATCAGGTTGCATCTTTTTGTCTTATCAGACAGATCACAGGGCCTTGAACCCTGCACCCCCTCAGCTTTCGTGTGCCTGTTTATTTGGCAGCAGCAGCTATGGCTAGAAAAACAAAACAGTAGACAGCCTGGCCTTTCTGAGAACATCTGGGTCTCCATTGTACTTGGTCTACAGGGATTTCTCTCTAGCACTTGTTTAGCAAATGCCTCACTGGCCTCAGCTTCTTTCAGCGCCGTGGCAGGCTCTGCCTGGCTCTCATGTTCACAAACAGATCACCTGACCCTCCCTGCCCCAGGCACCACCTTACCCCTAACACACACCCTCCAACCTGTAGGTCCTACTGGCTTCAGGCCCACAACCAGGGATTCTAGAAAGTGCCCAGACCACCTGCTTGCTAATAACACAGATCCCAGTCTAGAAGGAGGTTATCACCTCGGGGGTGAGGGGTCAGTGGCAAGAAGGGAGGCCCAGTGACGCCAACTGTCAGTAAAGGTCCAAGATTTTGATCAGTTCCTGGGGTCTTTCGTAATTATTCTGCTTAATTTACATAGAAGTTACATTTATTCTTTGGTATATATCTAGTATTGCAGAATAAAGAATGTCCATACAGGCTTTTGAACTCTACCCAGCAATGGTTCTCCACAGCTAGGTGTAAATTCCACATCAGATCTTTAAAACTTCAGGCACCAGCCCTTTCACAAAGATGCTGATAGAGGGGACAGGCATGCGAGGCTGAAAAAAGCTTCCTACCTGCTTCTGCTGCCTCCCTCTCCTCTAAAAGTATTTTTAAAATTGCTGTCTTGGTTGATTTTCTTCTTTGGAAGACAATTACATTAGAACCACTTGGGGAATTTTTAAAAGCCCAGACCAATTAAATTAATGTCTCTAAGTCTGTCTCCTTCAACATCATCCCTGGCAACTCTAACCACTGCACCACTGATAGGCAGATAATTAAAGGATTTTCTTGCTGGGTTTTAATGGCACAGCACCCTGGCCTTACTGTTGCCCGTCTGACCTGTATGCCAGGGCGGACATCTGGGAGCTGTGGCCTGTCTTGTCTTATCTTGTCTTTATCATTGGTCGTATGGTAGTCACATCCCATGGTCCCAGAGTTGGGCTCCCAGCCCAGTGCCTAGAGCCCCTGTGCTTGCTAAGATTCCCTGGCCTGGTGTCCTGCCCCATCTGTATTTCATGGAAATCATCAGAGAGAGGAAAGTTGCACTGGTAGAGATGTTATCAAACAAAGGTCCAAGTGAGGCTGGCCCTCTTCTTTGACTCTTTCTTATCTGTGCCAGGGACTACCAGTCTCAGAGACAGTCCTCCCGTGAACTCCAAACTAGCATCAGCAGAACTTTCCTACAGGGAAAGCCAAATCCTAACCAGAAGAGTAATTGTCCAGCATGGGATCAACCTCAGGGACATTCAGTGGCATTGACTAGGATGGCCTGCCACATCCTACCCCCTATGGAGGGTCCTGACCTTCCCTTCCCTTCTCCTGCAGCAGAGGCTGGGACTCTATCTGGTAGAGCCCTGAGAGATGCTGGATTAAGACAGTTGAATTCCCTTTGGTGCTCAGCCAAGAATCCCATTTATCCATTTGGTCAGGCTGTTTTTGCTATTTTTATCTTTGAAATTTGCTCTCTTGGAATTAAACATTTATTCATTTATTTTTGAGGCAGGGCCTTGTTCTGTTGCCCTGGCCAGAGTACAGTGGCATTGTCATAGCTCACAGTAACCTCACACTCCTAGGTCCAGGCGATCCACCTGCCTCAGCCTCCTGGGTAGCTAGAAGCTCAGTACCACAGCAGGCTGATTTTTCTATTTTTAGTAAGGATGAGGTCTTGCTTTTACTCAGGTTGGACTTGAACTCCTGGCTCCAAGGGATTTTCCTGCTCAGCCTCCCAGAGTATTAGAATTACAGGCGTGAGCCATCACACCTGGCCCAGGATTAAACTTTTAAATGCTGCTCACTTCTTTTCTTCTTCTTTGACTCCAGTATTCTGTCCATATTCTGTTTAGTTCTGGACAAAACATCCTTCCAGTTCGTAAGCTGTGGAATAGCACTTCCTGCCCATGGAGATCCAGACT